GTTGTTGGGGGACGGCTGAGTTTTTTGTCAAGTTAATTTCTCGGGTATTGATGTTTGGTGACATTCACTTGTTGTTTATCTTCGGGTGCAGCTGTAATGCTGAAAGAAAATGCACAGCTTGTTTCGTTTATTTATTTTACACCTTTCTTGGGTTCTGCATTATGTTTGTTTGGTGAAAACCCACTGAGGCTTTTGATGTTGGAGAAGTGGGATTTCAGCAGCTGCTTCCTGCAAGCAGGGTGCTCTGTGCGCAGGCAGGGCCGGTGGGCGGTGCTGGGTGTCGTGTGGTGGGCACTCGGGCCCGATGCGTCCCCTGGGTGGGGGCTTTGGGGGCCTGACCTGAGCCAGATGCCCCAGGCCCACGAGAGCAGTCACGGCTCCCGAGTGCCGAGCCCTTAGCTTGCGGGGCTCCATGCACAGACTTGCTGATGCTCACGGCAGCCCCGGGAGACGGGTCCTGTTCTCATCCCCCAGGTACAGACGAGGAAACCGAGACCCAGGGAGCCGAAGTGACTTGTCCAAGGTCACTGAGCCATTAGGCGGCAGAGCTGGGACCTCAGATTGTCTGACCTGCAAGACCATGGAGTTAGCCAGTCGCTGACCTGCTTCCTGTGCCGCTCGCCCCGTAGGGGTCAGTGGATCCCCCTGTTTCCCAGCCTGGGGTGGGGAATGGGTACCCTACCTTTTCAGCCTTTACAAACCAAATGCTTTCATTCATTTACCCAGTAGCTATTCGTTGACCACCTGCTATGTACTGGCAGTCCTATGACAGTCCCCACCCTGTTGGCACCCACTGCCTCCCCCCCACCACCCGGGGGCGCACAGCTGGGGAAGTGCCAAAGCCAGGTGTGTGTGATCCTAAGGCCAGACGTGGTGACCACGCACCTGTCTCAGTGTCAGGCTCCTGTGCAGCCTTGGCCATGCCCTCCGCCCTGAGTCAGGGCCCCTGAGAGACGCTGCATGGCACAACCCAGACAGCATGTGCGGCCTGCAAACAGGACAACTGAGGCCGAACCCCAGGGCGGCCTTGTGGTAGCTGGGCACCTTGGGGGGGGCACGCTTCGCCCTGCACCTCCATCTCCCCAGCTGCGAAGTGGGGATGATGACACCCCTTCCTGCAAGGGGTTCCTGAGACTCAGCCGAGGCGCTGCCTGTGTGTCCCTCTGCCGGCTGCCTCCCCCTCCCTCTGGGCCTCAGTTTCCCCAGCCAGATGACCCCTTGGGTGCCTCCCAACCCTGCTCCTGTTTGCTGTATTGCAGTAGCCCATCACGTGTCCGTTGCCCCAGGGCCTCCTGTAGGATTGGCCCCGCTGCCTGTCCCGGGAGGGGGAGCTGAGGCTCGGAGGGGCGAAGGTCCCGCCACCACCGGGGAGGTGAAGCATAGGATTGGAGCCCAGCTCTGGGTGGCATGGGTTTTCTCATTCTGCCACGGCTGTGTCACGGGATGTTTGGCTCTTAAGTGATTGTCAAGTGGCTGCAGAGGAGGAGAGAGTGTCTGGTACCCAGTGACTCAGAGGAAGACGGGAGGGCGGCCCAGGACAGGGCCGGCATCCCAGGCACAGGCGTGGACGAACTGGTTCACAAGTCTTTAAGAGAGCGAGGCCCGCTCCCAAGCAGACTGAGCATGGCTGGTGCCCATGGGGCCGCGGGGCCGAGTTGAGAGGTGCCGGCTGGTTCAGACGGTGGGAGATGCCGTGAAGCCATGAGCACAGCCGCCTGCGGTAGTGAGACAAGGACAGTGGTGTGAGAGGGCCGGAGCTGGGCGTGCCCACGTTTGCATTCTCGCCTCCTCCCAGGAAGCCGCCCTGACAGCCCACAGGGAGCTAATCCTGCCCTGGGTTATGGTTCTGTCTCCTTCCCCATCTCCCCTCCCTGGACCAGGAACGCCCTCGACGGGGCCTGTCCCGCTCACGCCCAGGCCCGGCCCAGAGCAGGCACTGCCCAGTCTCTGCTGTGAGGGGATGAAAACGTGAATGGAGGAGGACTTCTTTTGGTCCAGCCCCTGCTTCTGTGTGTCCTTCAGCAACCTGAGCTCTTCAGTCTTATCTGTCCCTGCCATCCGTCCATTCGGCCAGCAAGTACTCTCTGAGCATCTGCTGTGTGCCGTGCGCTGTTCTAGGCCTCGGGGGTGCGGGCCTTGACCGTACAGACAGACACCCCTTCCTCCTGGAGCCGGCATCCCAGTGGGAGAGGCAGACAGTGAGCTGTGCAGTAAAACACAGGGGTGGGTGCCGCGGAGGAGCACGGACAGGGAAGGAGGGCAGGGGCACTGGGGGGCCTTGTGGTTTTAAACAAGGAGATCGGGGAGACTTCCCTGAAAAGGTGAGGCCCCCGCGTGGCTCCCGGGGAAGGAGCACTCCAGGCAGAGGAAACAGCAGGTGCAAGGCCCGGAGGTGGGAGAGGTGGGGGCCAGCAACCAGGAAATGGCCCTGGGTGGCAGTTGCCGCGTGCATGCGTGTCTGTGTACGTGTATGTCTGTGTGCATGCATGTCCATGTGTGTGCATGTGTGCAGGGGTGAGTGTAACCGGAAGCTCACAGAGGTGACGGGCCCCCCTGCATGGCCTGGTGGCCATCCTGACGGCTTCAGCTTTTCCCCAGGTGAGACAGCACCACGGAGGCTGAGATGAAGGAGCCACAGGTGCTGATCCCCCAGGTGCCCCTCGAGAGCAGACTCTAGGACGGAGGGCAGAGTAGGCTTCCGCCGTCCTGCAGGCCAGAGATACCCCGGACTCGGGGCGGAGGGCCGAGGCGGAAGTCGGCGGGGAGCAGAACTGGCTGAGAGCTTGAGCCCCAGGAGGCATAGGCAGAAACCGGCCCCCCTGCCAGTGCCTCAGAGTGGTCAGGCAGCGGGGAAGACAAGAGACACTCTGAAGGTCAAGGCCACGGTTCCACCGCCCGGCCCAGGAGCTCGCACACCCCCATTGTTAGTAACTAGGAGGGGGCGTACGTGACGGGCTCACAGGCCCTATTTTGCTGCTCTTCTATTTCCCAGCTCCCATTACCTGCCCACAAATTCAATTTCCAGAGGCCATTGTGCACCTCCAAAGCCTGGCGATTGTAAGGAAACCAAGAGCGTCGAGGAGGCAGCGAGGAGAGGAGGCGTGTGTCTGAGCCAGGGACTGCCGCCCCTACCCCCCGCCTGTCCTGCCCCCTCTCCCTTTCCATGACTAACAATGATGGATACAGGCCTGCAGGCTCCTGAGCCCCGGGGGCAGCCTCCCACAGCTTCCCCAGCCTCTCTGCGTCCCCACCTTCTCACTCCATTCACTTCTCCGCTCACTGGGCACACATTAGTGAGCATCCACTAGGTGCCAGGCAGTGAACGGGACAGCTCCGTTCCCATACGAAGAAGTGCCACGATAGCGGGGGGTGGGGGGGCATCTGAGGAGGGGGCGCGGGAGCTGGGGCTCAAACACAGGGGATCGGCCCTGCAGGAGCAGAGGTTTCGCAGTGGGCGTGCAGCGCACCGGCCCGGAGGGGCCAGCTCAAGTCATGCCATTAGAGGACTCAGGATTCCCTCGCCCTGCCTTGCAAAGCCATAGGAGCTTGAGACCCCAAGCGGTAGCACCTGTTCTAGAAGGCTCGCTCGGGCTGCTCTGTGGAAACTGGACCCAGCCATGTGGGGGTGGCAGGAACAGGGATTCAGGCGAAAGTGCCTGGATCAGGCAGGTAGCCGTGGAGATGAGACAGGGTCAGTGCGCCGGTCGCCTTGGGAGGAACATGGTGAAGAGAGGCCAAGTCACTAGCCCAGGACCTTCTCCAAGAGGCCCAGGATTCTGCATGTCTGGGCCAGGGGCCGGGCCGGGCTCTGGAGAGACCCACGTGAGATACATGCCCTCGGGAGCCCCCGGCCTAGTGGGGAGTCGAGACAGAGGATCACAGGGCTGTTTGTCCCCCTGGAAGACTTCACGGAGGAGGTGTTTGAGGAATGGATTGGGACGGCCAGGCCTGAGCCCAGCCTCCCCCTGCCACATCCCTCCCGGGAAGGCCAAAGGGACCAGCTCACCTTCTCCTACCCGCTCTGTCTCCCTGGCACTCCCTCGCCAGCACCGGAGACTCCCAGGAGACGTGGGGAGACGGTGGCTTTGGCGTTGCTTGGGTTTAAATCCTGCCTCCAGCACTTCTAGCTGAGTAACCTTAGACTTAACCCTGTTTGCGGCTCAGCTCCCTCCCCTGTAAGAGGCAATCATCATACATACCTGCAGGATTGGTGAGAGGAGTAGGGCTGTAGCACATAGTAGGGCCTCAGGAGTGTTTGGGGCCCAGAGGGACTGTGCTGTGCGTGCTGAGCCCAGTGTGCGTTCTGGTCATGCTGTGTGTCTACACCCTCTTCCCCTCTCCTCATAGAGAACTCCTCTGCATGCTTCAAAGTCCAAGTCAAATAGCCCCTCCTCTCCAGAGCCACCTCGTATTGCTCCTCCCTCCGTGCCTCCCCTGGAATCTCGGAGCATGATTTCACCCAACATTTATTGAGCACCTGCTGTATCAGCCGCATACTATACCATTAAGAGTCTGCAACCTCGAGGAAAGCTGCAGAAGCTTCTACTTGTTTCCCCAGCTATTGCCCTTGCTTGACCCATCCTCTCTGAAGTGTCACGCTCCTGGCAAGCCAGGCAGAGATCATCAACCTCTGAGCTGCCGGGAGAGGCCTTCCTCACTCCCTTCCTAAACGGAGCCGTTTCGTCTGCGGGTGGAAGCCGGGGAGGGGGTGGCAGGCCGAGCCAGAGAGGCAGCCCTGGGTGAAGCCTGAGACTGACTGTCCGCATTTCTCTCTCCTCTCTCGTGTTTTCTCTTCCGTGTTGGCTCCTGGTCCCTCGTGTCGCCCCCCCCCCCCCGCCCCGGCTCGCTCTCCTCCCTCCCGGTGCCTTGTTTCCTCTCTCGCCTCCCCGCCCTCCATTTTGCTCATTCCGGTCCCTCTCCCTTCCTGCCATTTCTCTCTTCCCGCCTCCCACCCCTCTCCGCTGTTCTTTCCTCCTCTCTTGCCATCTGGGCTCCCACAGAGCCCCCGAAGAAAAAGCGGCCTGTGGTGTTGGACGAGATCCTGGAGCATCTGGAAGACAGTGAAAACGACAGTGAGGAGCAAACCCTTCAGCTGCGAGCTGGCACCGAGAGGGTACGTGGCTTCAGGGCCCTGGGGACTGGGGACAGCCGCTCCGGCTTCTGCGCTCCCGCCATGTGGGCTGGGAAGGGGGGGTGGGGAGCGCCGTTCTGGGGGGGGCAGGTGGGAGCACAGGCGCCCCCACCCTGCCCCAGCCCGAGTTCAGAGGGGACAGTGTCCCAGGTGACACGTTCCAGCAGTTCCCCACACGTCTGCTCTGTGCCAGGCACCCAAGGGCCAGGGGGCGCGCGAGACTCAGCCACGTTAGAAAGTCTCTCGTGGCCGCACCGGGACCTGGAAGCCGCAAGAACAAACTGTGCGCCACCCCCCCCCTCCAGCGTGGCCGTCCACTGCTCCCAGTTGGGGAGACAGGGCCCCACCTTGCTGGTCAGGCGGTTGGGGCACAGAGGGACTCGGGGGCTCGCTCCTGCGCAGCTGGGCTGTCGGGGCAGGAAGCCCCCTCTCTGCCCCACACAGGCTGGGGGCCTCGGCCCCGTTACCTAATCTCCCTGGGCCCAGTGTCTGCCTCACAAACTGTTCCCACCCCGTACAGTTTTAGTGAGAAAAACACGCAGCGTTAATCCATGAAGTACCCCAGCTGCGGTGGAACACCAGCTCAGAAGCTTCTGTTCTTGCCCTCCCCTCCAGGGCTGCTAGCTGGAGTTCCCACCTACGGCCATCTGCGGGAGTGCTCACAGCTGGGGACCTGGCCTCTGTCCTGCCCCAGGGGGCTTCGAGCCCTGGTTTGACTACCAGGGGCTGACCCCAGGGCTGGGGAAGCCACCAAGCCAGCCGTTCACGAAGCCCAGATGCCAGCCGGTTGAGCCTAAGATGCATCTCTGATGGCGGGTACCCCCTGCTCATGGGTGGAGGACTCTGTGAAATGCATCCCAGCCCCGTCGAAAGGCTTATCCCAGGCTTGGGGCGCCCGAGTGCACACACCTACTCCAGCCTGCAAATACAGCCTCCCCCAGGGGGAGAGCCAGGAGGCAGGCTGGTGGGGAGGAAGGAGCCGCTCGATCCTCTGACCTGGGTCTGAGTCCCAGCCTCGCGGTTCCCAGCTGTGCAGCCTCAGACCAGTGAGGTCCCCTCCGACCCTCAGCTCCTCTTCCTGTCCAGCGGGGGTGGTATTGTGCCTTCCTGGTGTGTGACTATTCAGTCAATCCCAGTAAAGCCCAGAGGAAATGCCCATCAGCACTTCTGTTTACTTCTTAATTTGGGACCTCTGGCTGGGGCCCCAGGTGAGAGTCCAGGAACCTTCTGACTTTGCATAGAACTTGGTCTGTGCGTTTTGGAGGAAGGAGGTTCCAATCTTCATCCAGTTTGCAGAGTGGCCTGGAACCCAAGCAAAGTTCCACGGGGCAGGTGCTGCCTAGTCAGTCCTACCTCCTCCCTGGGAAGGAACAGAGGCAAAGGCCACACCCAGAGTGGCTCGCTCCCCGGCTTCTGCAGGCTGTACCCACAGACATCAGGTGTGAGCACCGCATGTAGGTGGGGGCTGGACGGCGGGGTCAGTGTCAAACCTCCCCCAGGCCAGCCCCTCAGGTCACCAGGTCCCTCAGCTGCCGTGGGTATTGGGTGTGACTGGGGCCCCCCACCCCATGCTTCCCCACCGCTCGTCCTGTTCAGGGGCCCATGGGTCTTTCTGGTTGAACATGCAGTCTGTATCCACATTGCCACACCCACCAGAGCCAGGCCGCCGGTGGGGGTGTAGTCACCCCACTGGAAGTCATCAGACCCGTGAGCCTGGCACACAAAGGGGCTTCATTGGCACCCACTTAACTGACTCGGATGACAGTACTAGAACGTTCCCAGGGCAGGATCCACCAACTCCTGCAGCCTGGTATTGGGTGCCAAGCACAGGCTCTCCAGCCTGGGAGACTGGGTCCCCTTCCCTCCTTCCTGCCCCACCTGGCCTCTCTGCCCCCCACCCTGGGGGCTCACTGTCTGGAGATCTTAGGGTGCCCCATCACCCCCCCTTCATGCCACCAAGGACGTCCATGGTGTACGCCACCCTCATCTCCCTTCCCCTAACCAAGGAGCACTGCACTCTCCACAAGCAGCCGGAGGGATCCAGCTGGATCCATGCACTGGATTATGGAAGTCATAGCTTAAAACCCTTCAGGGTCCCCCACACACTTGGAATTAAGTCACGCTCCTCACCCAGTAAGAGGGCCCTGCCACTCGTCCCTCCCTTACTTTGTGCTGGCCTTTCCAGTGCACTCCCACCCCAGGGCCTTTGCACTTGCTCTTCCCTCTGCCTGGGACCCCCTTCCCGCACATCTTTCCTGACTGTCTTTTTTTTTAATCTCCCCTTGAGATCTTAGTTTAAATTCTCCTTCCTCACTCAGAGACAGTCCCTTACCACTTTATCAGAAGTAGCTACACTCTGCTTCTCTCCTGCCCGGACCTGCGCCCACACCCCTGTCTCAAGACGTCCCTACCCCTGTTCCTTTCAGTCACAGCACTTAGTGCAGGGAGCGGCCCGAGCCCTGTCCTTCCCCTTTGAAAATGACTGCCACCTTGAATGGCCAGGAGGTACTCACACAATCGTAATTCTATATAGGAACCGCCACCGTTGTGATGATTCTGGAAGGAGGTAAAGCACGGCTAGGAAATGGTCAGGTGAAGCTAGGTAAAGTACATTGGGGCAGAGCAGGGATACCGCCTCTCCGCCCTGGAGGAAGGGGAGCCGACTGGAAGCTGCAGAGGGGAGCTTGTGGGGAGGAGTTAGAAGTGACAATAGGGGGCGCCTGGGGGGCTCAACCAATTAAGCGTCTGCCTTCTGCTCAGGTCATGATCCCAGGGTCCTGGGATCGAGTCCCGCATCGGGCTCCCTGCTCAGTGGGGAGTCTGCTTCTCCCTCTGACCCTCCCCCCTCACTGTGCTCACTTGTGCGCACACGCGCTCTCTCTCTCTCTCTCTCTCTCTCTCTCTCTAGCAAAAATAAAGTCTTTAAAAAGACACTAGGACATAAGTCGATCTAGGAAAGAACTGAGAATAAACCATAGGGGGTGCTGAAGGAGGGGTGCAGCTCTGGGGCCAGGTGAGCATCCTCATGCACATGTAGACTCAGCCATTTCTCACAGCGGTCTGTGGGCCCTGGACAGTCAGGGGGAGCTAGGAAGAGGTGCTGGTGGCTGGATAGGGCCGGGGGTGATGGCAGGGCCAGAGGGGGCACCTGAGCTGACAAGGCTGTGGGGCCGGCCGTTTGCAGAGGCCGGAGCTGGAACCCGCCCCACTCCGTGTGCCCCACGGCCACACACACACACACACACACACACACAAACAGGAACGCCGGCTCTGATTCTCGGGGCCTGACCCCTGCAGGCTGGTTTCCCGGGTTCCCCTGGCCAACAGGCTGCCAGTTGGGTTTGGCCAGAGGTGGGCACTATTGGGCATCTGGGGGCTGGCGGAGGAGAGAAGCCAGGGCATTCCTCCCCCTCCCTGGGTCCCGTGCCGGGTCCCCACTGAGGGTCCAGCCCTGGACTCTGGTAACACCACTGCCTCCCCAAGAGCCTCCAGTTGGGGGGTGTCGTCACCCCCTGGCCTCTGGCTCTGCCTGAAATCCCCTCTGTGGAACTGCCCGACAGGCACAGTGAGGAGATGGGGAGCTGTGGGGGCCTCCCTGCAGGGAGGCAGGGAGGAGGCCCGGACGGAAGCAGAGGTGGGAGGCCAGAAGTTTGGTTGGTCTGTGCACACGGGGCTCTAGAAGGCTGAGCAGATGGAGACCCCGGGGACCTGCAGAAGCTTGGCAGTCTATGGGGGCAGCCATGGGTGTGAGCCCCAAGGAACGCTGAAGGGTGGGAAGGACGTGAGGCCGGGCTTAGGGAAGGAGGAGAGGCCACCGAGGCCCCTGGGCCTGGCTGGGGGAAGGTCCTGTACAGACAGCCCAGGGTGAGGAGGATCCTGGCTCCTGCCTGCAGGTGGAGGATGGGGATTAGACAGGGGGGTCTCACAGAGCTCAGTGAGAGTGGGGTGCCCTGCAGCTGGAGGGGTGGGCAGAACCCATGGGCCCTGGTTCCAGGAAGACCTGGAGGGGGGGAATCTCAGCCACACCACCCACTGCTTGTGCAACCTGCGCCCAGGGTCTCAGCGTCCCCTGCCTCAATTTCCATATCTTTAAAATGGGTACGGGAAGCATTTCGGCCTGGTAGGATTTTTTTGAAAATTAAATGAAAGATCATGGGTAGGAAGCATTTAGCAGACTATGGCAAGCCTAGGGGACACTAAATCATGGCTATCATGATCGTTGCTGTTATTTAACAAAGAGGAAAGTGTGGGGCATTACACCCGCAGATGCCCCAGGAAGTCAGAGCCCGTCATGCGCACAGCAGGCCTGCTGGGCCCACCTCAGAGAAATGGGGCAGGATGGGGAGTCCCCGCATCCAGGAAGGTGGCCTGGAGAGGGTGCCCTCTGCCCACAAGCCCCAAAGCAGGCCGAGTGGGGACATCTGTTCACCTGGTCATTCCGTGCACAAAGCCAGACCGAAGATGAGCCGACGGTTTCCAGGGAGCATGTGTGGGAAACAGGTGAGACCTTCCGCAGGCCCTGGTATGGCTGGGTCTCTTCCCAACACTGCGATCCGGGGGGGGTCAGCCACAGCAGGGGTGCCACTCTCACGGTAGAATCGTCTGTTCTGAGAGCCGAGCTCCGGCCCCTGGGTCAGTGCTTCTAGACCAGGCCCCAGACTTCGTTGTGTGAGGAAGGGCTCTTGCCGGCGCGCAGGCGGCCGGGGGCCCTGGCCACGGGCAGCAGCCACCATCAACACATGGAGCAGGAAGGGGCGTCCGCAAGGCCAGCCCCTCATCCTCAGCCCGTGTATTCATTCATCAAACACTTAGCAGGGCACCAGGGGATTTGAGGCCAAAAACTAGATCCACATGTGGGTCCGTGTCCTGGGCTTGAAGACCCACGTGGCCGGCAGAAGACAATTTCCAGTGGCCCTCGCCCGCCTGTTTTCCCTCCTCTTTTGCTGCCTCCTCGGCTTGCTTTTTTCGTTTTTTGTGGCCAG